CCAGCTGAGGGACCTACTGCTTCATGGCCTCCCTGCCCCCCCCCAGCTGAGGGACCTACTGCTTCATGGCCAGCAGCTTGGAGTCCATGCTCTCCTGCTTTCCCTTCATCAGCTGCACATCACTCAGCAGCTTGGTGACACTGTCCTGGCGAATCTTTATGTCTTCGTTCTTGAGGGTGGACACCTGGGTCCCGAGGGAAGAGGAGCCAGGGTCACCAAGGCGGCCTACAGCATGGGGCCCTGGGATGGAGCTGTGCCCTGATGCGTGGGGGAAGGGAGCAGCAGGGACACCCTGGCTCCCTGTGCAGTCAGGCCAACAGTCAACTGGACGCCCAAAGAGGGCAGGTCCTAGTGCTGCAGGGAGTCACCCTTTACCTGATCAAAGAGCAGTGAAGAGGGGTGGGAGGAGTAGACGCAGGACACAGCAAGGATGCTGTTCCTCGAGCCTCCTCCAGCCCCAAGGGCTGTAAGAGGGGCCTGGGGAGGGGGCGCGCGTTCACACTGGTGGGAGGTGGGGCCACACTCACGCTGGTGTAAGGAGGCCCCCCTTCACACATGCACGCGCACACACACACATACGCACACGCTAGTGGGAGGCGGGGGCCTGCATAGGCTGCTGGGAGGCGGGGTCACACATACGCTGGTAGGAGGAGGCCCCCCTTACACACACACACTGGTGGGCGCAGGGGTCTCACTCAAGCTGGTGGGAGGAGGGGCCGCATTCACACAGGTGGGAGCGGGGGCCACACTCACACTGGTCACTTTCCTCTTGATGTTCTCCAGGAGCTGCTCCCGGCCGCGAAGGAAGCACGGGTGCTGGAACTCGGTGTCGTCCTTCTCGGGCTTGACCAGGCCACCCTGCTCGATGTGGACCACTTTCCGGAAGCCGTCTGCATGGGACAGGGGGCAGCTCTGCCTAAGGTGGGACCACGCTGACCACAAGGGGCCAGCCTGGGCCTGGAGCTGCAAGCCCTTCCAGGGGGCCGTAGGGACGTCTCTGCCAGCTCCCATCCCCCCAGAACTGAGGGAGTGAGGCCTCATGGACAGGATGGAGAAGTGGCCTGTGAAGGCTGCTCCTTGTGGGGCGTGTAGACACCAGGCCCGCGGGCAGCTGGTCGCCCCCTCACCCTGCCCTCCTCCTCTCATCTCCCCACTGTGTTCTGAGCCACACTGCCTCCTGTTTCTGGAAACAGTGCTGCCTGGTCATCTCAGTGCCAGGTGGTCTCAGGCCACTTGGCTTCTCTGAGCCTCATGGTCTTCACCTAAGAAATGGCTCAGAGCCCTGACTCCATGGGCCAGCAGAGACGGAATGTGTGCTGGGCAGGTGCAGCACCCCTGGGTCAGCCCAGGGCAAACCAGGCTCGGGGCACATCTGGAGATGCTGTGGTCTTCACAGCCACGGGCACGGCTGCCACAGGCATTGACCCCAACAGTGCCTAGGACTCCCGCCGGGGACCAGCCAGCCTGAGTGTTCCCGGGATCAGGCTGCAGAAAGCTGGGCTCCAGCCAGAGACCCTCACCCAGAACCCCAGGTCCTCCTGAGACTGAATCAAAGCACAATGTTCTCAGGACAATGACGCCCGGCCACCTCTGGTTTCTCCAGGCTGGACAGACAAGCCAGCGGTAGACAGGGTCGGCTGGCTCCAGGTCATTAAAGTGATGGTAGTGGAGGAAGTGCAGGGGCAGTGAGGTGG